AAACCGGGTTGTCGTCTTCAAAGAATCAGGATGGTTGCCTTGGTGACAGAGATTATCCTTTTAACTTCTTGAAACTGTCATTTAAAAATCTTGAATTGATAACATTTTGAATTTATTAACATATTGATAGAGAAAAATTGCACACCTTAAACTGGCCATGTAGATCTTAGACAAAATTATAAACTACTCAACATAAGCTTTGTTAAGATTGTAAATAGATAAAATCCATTTATCATAAACAACATACATGTAATATTACAAAATAATTGAGAAAGACCTCACTACAAAATAAGCTCATTTCTAGGAATCATTTAGCATAACCTATTCTGAATTATTTTTGACCCATCGGTTGTGGAAGTAGCGATCAGAGAATCTAGGAGAAGTGTATTGGCTTTCTGAATACTATTGGCACTGTGGTGAACATAAACCTTAGATAAATGCATTTTGACAAAACTAAACATCCTAAAAAGGAAGAAGAAAAACCAATTAAGTGAATTTTCACTTGTAATTTAGAGAAGTTTTAGAGATTCTACCTTTAGAATACTTGTATGTTCCTATGGGACATGTAGCACATACTATGAGAACCAGAAAATTCCAACCTGAAAATTGCACCTGAAAATTCCAGCTTGGACTATCAAGAGGATCAGTAAAATCTATACTTATCCTCTCAGATGTTCAGCATAAACATATTTAGCAAATGACCAAATTTTATAATTCCTATATATAAAATACCTAAATATATAAGCAATTGTTATTATACAAAAAGACTGCAGATTATGACAGAAATATCTTCGTCCTTAATAGGAGATGCTAGAGAAACATATCTGTATCAAACCTATAGAAAAAAGGGAATAGAAATTTTGAGCCCCTTTCTTTAAGGTAGGTTAAGTAGTATATTCCATTTTCAAATCTTGCCCCAGTTTTTTCTGTTGAAATAGATAATGATGTTTTAACACCAACATTTTATTATTGGTATAATATATTTATTTGTAGTTTACTTAATTTTTGTATAAGCATCTATAAATAAGTTTTGAAATAAGGCAGTGTATTAAAACATGCTTAATTTTCTTTCATTATTATTTAGCTTTTTTAGTATCCCAGAAAAACAATATGAAAAATTTTATTCAAAATTAAAA